CAGCTCCTCTCGAAGACATAGCTGTAAATCCAGAAGCATTGTTTATGCCGCCTTCGAAGTTCACAATCTTCCGTTTTGTTTGGTCAAAAGGAAGCGACCAACCTCTTTCGCATCTACAAGCTTAGGTTCAGGAACCGAAAAACCTGACCTTAACTTCGAGGTCGATTTGCACTCGACCGGAGGAGACTCACAAAGCCGACAACTTCACGCGGCGGGAGGGCCCGCGGACTACTTATGCCGCATTCCGGCTCCCGATTCCGAGACGGACATCTGAGATGTTTTCAATTGTCTGGCCGGTTGGCCCAATGGCAAGGCGTCTGACTACGACACACCGTGGAATCAGGAGATTGTGGGTTCGACCCCCATGCTGGTCAAATTCTTTTGCCAATTAGAGCAATAGCTTATCTTTGACGTCTTCTCTCAACGGGGAATCGCTCTGGAGGTTTCTTTTCTCCAATCGCACTCATTTGTGGACAGGCCTGGCTAATGTTGACCCTGTGACTGTGACGAAAGTGGCGCTTTGTGGCCGACAACTCAGCACCACTAAACTCTGACAATGGCGTCGTATAGTCGTTGCGGCCGCGGAAGAAACTTGTTCTAGACTTTTGAACGCCTCCCCTACGCATCAGATGTAGCCAACAAAGGCTAGAGTGAGTTGGCAAGTGCTCTCCAAGTTCTCTACACGAAAGAGTAAGCCGGCGCATCACCGGTTGCTTTCCAAAGATGTGGAAAGTTTGGCAACCACATTATTTGCCGGGATGAGCTTAAACGTAGGGAGTTTAGCTGCCGTTACTAGCCCTACACGGCAGACTTTCTGCTAAACTGGGCTCAACTCTATCAAGCCGACCCCAGTTCGAACTTTTTTTTTTCTTAACGTTCTTCTAAGACATATTGGAGGCCAACCAAGCTAGCTCCAAGTTTTCTGGATAAGTCGGCAAGTCGACCTTCCAAAGAGGGTGTACGCCGAGGCCGCAACTATTGCACCAGACAGGGGGTGGAGAGGTTGATTATTCGGTTTGGTTGAGGAACTTATGAGATGGGATGCTGTGCCGCAGTGACGTACTACCTTGGCGCCTTGGTGTTAGAGCGCCGCCGGGAGCCTTGAGAAAAGATACAGAACGGCAGTGCCTGGAGCAATAAGTAGGTGTTCCGTGGGGGATGGCTGTATGTGTGATACGGGCAGTCCTGTCGAGTGGGACTCGGGCGCAGAATGAGAAGAATGTTGCGCGAAGGGTCTGTGTCTCAGTAGATGATAATAGGTTACTCAAGGCTGGAGACTCAGCCCTGCCGATCGTCAGCAGTAGCGATTGTAGATCAGCTGGGGATTCCTCCCAAACAGTAGCCTCGAGTCTATCCGTAGAGAAGAAGCAACTCCAGGTTGAGAAGAGTGTTGGCACCAGGGTAGGAATTGACCTTGAGCAACGTGGAACTTGAAGTACAATGTACGAAGTATTCTGAGCTTCCGCCCACCTGCCCCATCCCCGCCCCGCCGTCGTCTTTTCCTACGAATCCGAGCCAATTACAGCGGGAGCGAGTCCGCCCACTTTGATCCTTCGCCCACGGACTGGGCAACTGCAGACTGACTGACTGCAGCAGTGATGGCTTCTGTGCAGTTGTGCAGGCAGTATATACTATGTAGGTAAGTACGGATACGCAGTTTTAAGAGAGAGTTGGGTTAATTTGGGTGTAGATCAGCAAGGTGCAGGGTGCTGACGCTGCTGACGGGACGGGGAAAGCGCCCAGCGGGAACTTGCAGGGGTTGCAGGGGTCGCATGCCACGTCGCGTGCCGACTTTCCCAGAAGTCGACAGGCAAATTGCACCAAATTGGCAGCGGATTGCACCGAATCTGCACCCAACATACTCGACTTGGCGACGCAAACAGCCCATCTTGGCCCCTAAGCCTTGAAGGACCCAAGGACCTGAGGTGAGTCTGCCTGCCTAACTCCGGTCCTAGCAAGCCTGGTCAGTCACCAGTGTTCGGATTTCTCTTCCATATTCTCTTGGCGAAATCTGCACGGCATCCTCCATTCATCCTTCCACCCTCCTCCCCTCGTTTCCGCCCAGACGTCTTGGTATTTTCTTTCCCTCGTGTCCTTGTCACCCTGTTCCTTTTCGGTTGGGGTTTCTTCATTGTTTGTTTCTTCCTATTCTCTTTTTTCCTATCTTTTCCCTTACGGATACCCAGGATACAAGACTTTGGAGGCAATACATCTCCGACGACCCTAATTCTCCTTGAAGATCCACGCATGCGCAGCCACCCCTGTCGGACGACGACGACGACGACGACTGCGCCGGGCCCCTTTCCATCAATGCGATAAGAACGACTCGAAAAAAAAAGAGAGAGCGACATCCCATTTCCCTACACGCGGCCTCCCTTACCCCCCAGAATCCCATACTTTTCGACCTTGGGAAAAACCTTCGACGCTGCCAAACCATCCGCATACGTCAAAAATAACGATTCCGTCCCGTCCCGTCTCCAATTCGTCCATTCCAGCGGCGCCACATCCCGCACGCGTAAACCCAATCTCGAAACGAAAGCTTGCGGCGGTTTAAGCTTGGGTCGATAACCGCGGCACGGGTACAGAAAGCCGCCAACCGCCACCATTACGGATACAAAACCCACGAGGTCTTCATCTTCAAAGGTCCAGGGTAACCCGCTTCGACGCCCTATTTCCGAAAGACGACAAGAATCCCATATAAGTGGTGGTTCAGACCTCCTATCGTGGGTTCAGCAAATCAAACGCAGGCTGGTTCGTCTCGTCTCAACACATTGCGCAGCGGGAAACCTTGACGGCAAAAAAGGGAACAAGACCTACGCACACACCAGAATCCGCAGAGAAAGAAGGTCACCACCATGTCGTTCCCAGCCCCAACCCGCCCGCGGCGTGGTGTGGTCTGCGTCGCCGCCTTCTTCATCCTCACCACAATCTTCCTCGCGGCAGCCCGCCTCGCCTCCCTAGACCTCACATCAGCCATCCGTCGCCGGCCCGCCGCGAAAACAGCATCCGAGCCCTCACCAGCCGATGCGCCCATGTCCTACGGCGAGACCGCTCGCCCAGGCTTCACCGACCTCTCCGTCCACATCGCCACACTCCCGGAGCGTCATCTTCCCTCCCGCGAGAACCCGAGCCGCAGGCTCATCGTCGTCGGCGATGTCCACGGCATGCGCGTCTCACTCGACAGACTGCTCGAGGAGCTGCACTTTGACAAGTCCCGCGGCGACCACCTCGTCTTTGCTGGCGACATGATCAACAAGGGCCCCGACTCCCGCGGTGTTCTCGATCTGGCCATGCGCCTCGGCGCCTCCGCCGTACGCGGAAACCACGAGGACCGCGTGCTGTTGGCGCATCAGAACATGAAGACGACCTATGTTACCGACTCGGACGCTCACGGCAATCCCGTCACCAAGAGAGAGGAGGAGGAAGGACAAGCCAAGGCCGAGGAGAACAAGGAGGAGGACAAGAAGCCTGCAGAACCTCCCACCGACAACGTCTCACCCGAGGCCGAAGGCCAAGGAGAAGACGGCGAGGACGAAGACGAAGACGAAGCCTCCCTAGAAGAGACCGAACAAGACGACCTCGAACCCTCAATCTTCCCCCACGGCGACTCCAAAGAACGCGCCACCGCACGCTCCCTCACCCGCAAGCAGCTAAAGTGGCTCTCCACCCTCCCCGTAATCCTCGACGTCGGCGCCGTGGAATCCATCGGCGGCAACCTCGTCGTCGTCCACGCAGGCCTCGTCCCAGGCCTCTCCCTCAAACACCAAGACCCCTGGGCCGTCATGAACATGCGCGGCCTCGTCTACCCGCGCGAGGAGCTCCGCCGGCAAGAAGCCCACCGCGCCCTCGAAGACTACCGCAGGACCCACACCGCCGCCCCCGGCGTCACCGAGACCATGATCCAGCGCGAGCACGAGCGCCGCCGCAAGCCCCACGACCGCAAGATCGCCATCCCCACCGACCGCCGCGACGGCTCCAGCAGCTGGCCGAAAGCGTGGAACGCCCACCAAAAGGCGCTGCCTGAGAAGGAACCCCGCACCGCCGTCGCCTACGGCCACGACTCGAAGCGCGGTCTGCAGATTGACAAGTTCACGTTCGGTCTCGACTCGGGCTGCGTCAACGGCGGGGAGCTGACCGCTCTCGTCATCGAGGCGTCTGCCGACGGCGGCGTCACGCATGCCGTCAAGAGCACAAGGTGCAACAAGGACGAAGGGAGAAAGGACAAGAAGAGGAACAAGAAGCACAAGAAGAGCAAGAAGGGGAAGAAGAGCAGCGAGGAGGTGGACGAGGCCGAGTCATAGAGACGCGTTTCCCCTCAACAAGGAAGACGTATCGTCTCTCAATAAGAAGAGGAAAAGGGGAAAAAAAGAAGCGCATCAAGCAAACTGCATGTCCAAGACGGACAACCCAGAAACGAAGGAGAGAAGAAACAACTGCATCTGCATGCGTATGGGCTGGCTGCCCAACACTTCCCCATCTCAAGAGAGGGGAACGACGGAAATGGATATACCTAGAAGTCATCGCCAACGTCTTTTAACACACCACCAAGAGACGTTTCATTGTACAAAATAAGTTGCACCCACATGGCATAGGGACATGATCAGCAGCAACTACCGTAATGAAGGACAGCATCATCATCATCATCCCACTAGGCGTTTTAGTCATTAGAGCAATACAAATTCACATTCTGAACTCGGGACATTGGGAGACCAATTTCTCGGATTTTTGCTACCAAGCAGTCTATCTTTGTGATTTTATGCCTCCCTCTGAAAAAAAAAAAAGTTGACTTCCACACAACTCAGCGCCTCTTCCATCACTTGACGCGCCGTTTGTTGGGGTGTGTGTTATGTGTGTGATGGGGTGGAATTGTTTGTTTTCCTTCTCATTAAGTCATTCTCACATCATGATATATCCTCCTCCCGACGGGAAAGTTGTCTCGCCCGCGGACGTGGCTTTTTGTCTTTTTTTTGTTACATCGCTTCCGCATCAGGACAGGCAATTTATGCCTGGACCTTCTGCTTGATGATGTCCTTGAGGGTAACGGCATCAGCGGCGAACTTGGAGATACCCTCGCGGAGCTTCTCGACGGCCATCTGCTCCTCATTGAAGTCGAAGCGGAAGAGAGGCTCGTTGCTGATGTAGGACTTCTTCTCAAGGTTGAGGCTGGAGGCGGCGGCGGCGTCAAGCTTCTTGGGGACGGGGGCGTCGGAGTTAAGGAGCTCCTCGAGCAGGTTGGGCTGGTGAATGTGTTAGTTAGTGGTTCTCTGGACCATTCAAGGTTACAATAAGAGGTGGCAAACGTACAGAGATGGTGAGGTAGTCGCAGCCGGCAAGCTCGGTGATCTCGCCAGTGTTGCGGAAGGAGGCACCCATGACAATGGTCTTGTAGCCGAACTTCTTGTAGTAGTTGAAGATGGTGCCGACGGACTTGACACCGGGGTCCTCCTCCTTGGTGTACTCCTTCTTGTGGGCGGCCTTGTACCAGTCGAGGATACGGCCGACGAAGGGGGAGATGAGGTAGGCACCGGCCTCAGCGGCGGCGATGGCCTGGGTGATGGAGAACATCAGGGTCAGGTTGGTGTTGATGCCGTGGTCGCGCTGAAGGATCTCGGCGGCCTTGATACCCTCCCAGGTGGAGGCGATCTTGATCAGGACGCGGTCCTTGGAGATGCCCTGGGCCTTGTACAGCTGGGGTGGATGTTAGCAAAGTTGCTCAAAACTATCCAACGTCGGGATACAAGACGTACGTCAATGATGTGAAGGGCCTTGTCGACGGAGGCCTTGGTGTCGAAGGAGAGGCTGGCGTCAACCTCGGTGGAGACCTTGCCGGGAACGACCTTGAGAATCTCCTTGCCGAACTCGACGAGAAGGGCATCGAGGGCGTTGTCAACCTGCTCGTCGACGGAGCCGCCCTGCTTCTTGGCGGAGGCAACGGCCTCGTCAATCAGCTTGGCGTACTCAGCCTTCTTGGAGGCGGCGAGGATGAGGGAAGGGTTGGTGGTGGCATCCTGGGGCTTGTACTTGGCAATGGCTGTATAGTCGTAGAGTCAGCAAACGTCCTCTGTATATTGGTATCATGCCTCAATCCATTGACCACATTGGCTGTGATGGATCGAGGTTGTGGTGGCAAAGTGGTGATCAGGAAGTTTTTGAGAGATTTTGGGGGAATGGCGGGGAGGAAGAAGGCGGGGTGGACTGACAGGCAAAGTCACCAGAGTCGCTGACGACAACGGTGCCGGTGGCCTTGAGCTGGTCGAGAGAAGAAGACATGGTGATGTTTGATGAAGGAATTGTGGCGGTTGTTGGTGGGAGATTGACTTGAGGAGGAAGAGAGGAGAGAAGGAGAGGAGGGAAAAAGAAGAAGAGAGGATGTAAGGTCGTTGAAGTAGTAGATCTTTGTTGAGGAACAAGCGTACCGTACCGTACCGTACCTCCCCCGGGGGACGGTGCGAGGGGTAATTTGTCCCTCATCCTCGCACCTCTCACACCTCACACCTCAGACGCCCGGACGACAGACGGTGGCCGCCCCCCCTAGGTAGTGTGGGTCTAAAAGTGTCACGTATCTGAGAGTACTTCGTACCTTTGGACCTTGGTACATGACATGAGCAAAAACCGCCGCGCCTTCCCCGAAGATGGGAGAAGCTGACGGTAGGTATCTCAGGTACATTGAATGGCTGTGATGCTGTAGAATCCCGTCCGTATCCATGATCAAGGGCCCTGGCCTTCCGGAACATGGACCCAATATTTCTTGTGCCATTTCAACTGACTACCTAGGCTGTTCAATGCAGGTTCTTCTACAATGTCGATCGAATTCTTTTTCGACTTCTTGAAGACTGCTTGGAGAGGCAGGTTGTTGGTTCGTCTCTCGGCCCCTACTCCGTACTCTGTACCGTTTTGGATGTTCTCTGCTTCGAGTGCTTAGACTTACTTACATCAGCAATTGACCGTCACCGTGACCGTCACGGCCTGTCCATTTTTTTTTTGTCCCTCCCCGCCCACCGTTTGGCGGGGTATTATTACGTCGTGGTGACCCACACCTCGCAGACGGCCGTGAGTAAGGCTGCTGCAGAGTGCAGAGGTGTGCTGTGCTCTGTGCTGGTGGTGCAGTTGCTGCTTCAGCTTGCAGCCACCAGGCACGACCCAGCGATAGAGGTACCCGTCAGGTAAGGAGCCCCCATCGCCGTCCGCCCCTCCATGACCCAGAACCATCGTCATACCCCCAGTGTTTTCCGTGGAACTCGATGCCAGTTTTGAATAATGCTGCTTGCTGTCCTTTTTTATCTATTGTTGAATGTCACTTTTCGCTGGATCCCAAAGATATTTCACATCGGCGGTTCCGCTTTTTGGCTGTCGCAAGTCCCTGTCGGATATCCTCAATGCTAGGTAGCCAAGGCTGGTTTCTAAAAAATCGCTCTCACGCTTTTTGAACTCTGGATTTACCCGCTTACTGCGAGGCTGCTGCTTCTTCGTACGTGCACAGGCCCTAAGAAGAGGGAACCCGACGTAATGGTACCCATAGAAAACGGAGAAAAATCGCGAATCGCGATCCGTGGATGGGATTTTCGAGTCGCTCAGGACAACCAACCCCATTTACCAGAGTAATCCGTCGTTCCTGATAGACGATAACCAAGGAAGACATCGGCTGAGGCGTCAAAAAAGCGAATAAAGCAGCTTGCCTGGGTTCTTGCCACATGGGGCGAACAGAAGGAACCCGGAAGAATAGAGATATCGTCTTTGTAGGCCCGACTCGAGATCCAGAGCCTTCAAAGTACCGTACGGGCGGGATTGGATGTATCATCTCTTCGGTGTTAGGCGATGTCGAAAGTTGCTGGGTCACACGCCGCCGTTCGCCATCGCCGTTCCCATCCCGCCGTCGCCGTAGGTGGCCCCCCGTCCGTTCCGGCACCTTCTGATCAACACTGGACTTTAGCAAGTAAGAATGCGACCTAATTACAGGCACTTGGCTAACTCGCCTGAGACGTCCATTGCCGTCGTGTCTTCATGTCGGAAATATGAGCCACCTCCTTCGGCCCAAATAACCCATCGCCGCAACTTAGGTATCCGTACCTTTCTTGGACCGTCAATGAAAGAGGCATACCGCCCGTAATCGTTTTGAAGGCTATTCTACAGCACTTGGGTCTGGGCCTCGTCTCAACCAAAGAATTGACCCCCCAAGATTGCGCAGAACCAAAGGCCACTTGGCATTGTGACTCAGCCCATCCTCCCGTCTACGACTCTGCGAGAGTCCATCGTGCTTCTCGCCTTCCACCACGTGCTCGCCATCGCTCTTCATTGGTCCCTCCAAGACTTTTACCACCCTTGGACTTTATCCGTCAGATCCGCCCGCCGCCTCAATTGCCCCTCGGTTGTCATGGCCGGTTTATCTCGCAATACTCAGACAGTGGTGTAGACCCTTCCCGCGCACCCCCATGCCAGCAAGGACTTCTCAATTCGTCAATAGTCCCGGTCGCGAGAGAGACCACGGGTACATTAGAGAGAAATGGAAACTTCAATGGGCAAAAGCTCGTTATCGTGGGATCCAGGCATCGTATTTTACCGCCGTCCAGTGCCCTCACTTCCGCGCCAATGTCCGACGAGCTCGAAGCCGCCAGCCACCAACGAACCAGCGACCAGCCCGGACTCTCCCCCGAAGTCGCCCTCTCGAACCCATAGGATGACCCCCACTTCGAATCAGGAAACTCCGGTCCCCGGTATTCTCTGACCTTCCACCGCCTACTTTCACATCCCACCATCCCTCGCCAGACGACCGGCCAGGCTCGCCCTCGCCATCTCGCGGGAGAGCGGCCAGGCCAGCGCATCCAGTTTCCCGTGAGGTCCATTCTAAGCGCACTATTGGCGGGCATAGCGTCCTCAAAGAAAACGGAGCCCTTCTTGGGGTGCCTCTTCCCGCTCGGGACTCGGGACTCGCCCAGTGCTCTCTCCTCTCCTCGCCTGGGAGAATCTCAATAGACAAGGCCTGGAACTCTTTGAGCCGACCGGCCGACGATCCCGACCAAAACCCACTACGGCACCGGGAAGTTGGAACCCCTCCATTACGTAATTCCGAGGAAGCTGTTGCCAACGAGGAGACATATCAACTCAACGCTTTTTTGAACAGCATCACGAGACATCCTCCCTGGTTCTTACGCTTTGCGACAGGGAAGAAAAGTACAATTCGGCAAGACCTCAAATGGCCTATTGATTCATGCAAGGCTACTGTGAATTATGTAGTGACTTTTGTGTTTTCCTAAAACCGCCGCCACCCTCCCAAGAACTGTTCCTCCCAATGCCCCATCCGATGCATTTAGTCCTCAGTGATATCGCCGTACTCCCACATGCCGAGGCGCTCCTCCTTAGCCTTGGCCTCAACCTCCTTCAGGTGCTTCAGGTAAGCGGCGTGTTGGCCGCTGCGCTCCCACGCCTTGAGCTTCTTGGGCACCATGGCCTGGCCGTTGGCGACGATCTCCTTGTTGATCGAGTCGTTCGGGCCCGGCTTCTTGTCGCCCGCGTTGTAGTCAAAGAGGGTGATATAGCTGACGCCCTCCTTGGTGTCGACAAAGTCAAAGCTGGCAACCAACTCCTTACCCTCGGTCAACTCAGCAATGAAGCCGATGGATTCCGAGAAGTACTCGGGCGCAGTGGGCAGTTGAAGGAATGAAAGCGAGGCGTCGATTGCCTGAGCCTTGAGCTTCTGTGTGGTGAATTGAGGCTGATCCAAAGGTCTCAGCTTGGACCAGGGCTGCTTCTCCGTGTTACCGTAGTCGATGTAGACAACCTCGGCAACCTTGGCTGCGCGATCGTTGGAGCGAATGCGGCCTCTGTACCATTCTCCGTCGGCAGAGAACTTGGCGGCGACAAAGTCACCGGCTTTGGGCGCATCGCCGATAGGCTTGCTGTTTGCCGAGTTGAGGTGGAACTTCTTGAAGTCGTTCATGAGGGTCGTCAAAGCAGCAGTGCCCTTGCCAATTTCCTGGATCTTGATCTTTCCGTTGCCGTCAATGTTGGTAATAACAACATCGCGGTAATCCTTGGGCTTGTTCTCGTACGCCTCGGGGGTATCATTGGTCGTCTCGACGGCCTCAGCCTCCTCTTCCTCCTCTTGAGACGGGTCCCAGCTGTGCCACAGTCCCTTGCGGCCCTCCTTGGCCTTCTTCTCAGCTGCAAGCAGCTCGGTGGCGTTGCCAGACTTCTCGGCAGAGTAGCGGTGCACAGATGCCAGACCCTCCTCGACGAGCAACTTGGCGACGTTCTCACGGTTGATGTACAAGTCACCGATGAAACCTCCAACCTTGTCAATGTCGTAAATGTCGACCTCAACGTCACGCTGGTTGCAGCGGCGACTGGCAAGGTCAATAGCCTCCTGGCCAAACTCCTCACCGTTGTCGCCTCCACGGCCGGGGGCACGAGGAGCACGGATGCCACCCAATACCAACGTCAGCTTGACACCCTCACGGGGAATTAGGATGGTGAAGCGAGAGCCAGACTTGACGAAATCAACAATAGCGGGCACCTTCTTTTGCCTCGACAGAGTGCCGAGCTGGATCTTGGCCTTTTGCAGAGACTCGGAAGCATCGGCATATTGCTTAATCTTGGGAGCCTTTCCAGACCAGATACCCTTCTTCTCTTCCTTGGCCTTCTCTTGGGCAGCGAGGAGCTCGTCGTAGTTGGGGGAGCGGTCAGTGTCGTCCTTGCGGTGACGGATGACAGTCGCGTAACCAGCCTCAACCAGCTCGAGACCAACGTTCTTGCCCTTCTCCGTGACCGTGGCAACCTCGCGGGCCTCGTAGCCATCGGTAGCAGGCTTGGAGCCATCGATGCTAATCTTGACATGCTTGCCGATAATCTTCTTGCGCAGGAATTCCTTGGCCTCTTCCTTGTAGGGGGCTTCTGACGCCTCATTGGTGCGAGGGCCGCGGATACTGCTGAAGTTGACTCTCTGCTCCTTGTCACCAGCCTTGTTGCGAACAATGATGGTGTCTGCGCCGATAATCTTTGCGACAATCATGTCGGAGGAGGCGCCGTCAGCCTTGGCAACGTGGTGCTGGTGGATGCGCAGCTTCTTGCCCTGGGCTGTCTTCTCAGCACCACGGAGGCTGGCCATCTTCTCGCCGAGCATGGTGGAGTGGAAGTCGTTGCATCTGGCGAGACCCTCGGTAAGGAGGAACTCGGCAATGTTCTTGTTGCCGTTGGGGTGGATGATGGCTGCCACCAGCTGTCCTTGAGCGCTGGCGCCAACGATATCAACCTTTACGCGGCGCTGGAGCAGTCTCTCCTCAACAAAAGCCTTGGCCTCGTTTCCAAACTCTTCAGCAGCCTGAGTCTGGCCGGTAGACTGTATCGTTCGCTCGGTGGTAGGCGTACGGACTCCAGCAAGGAGTGTCATGACCTGCACGTGCTTCTTATCCGAAAGGAGCAGTCGCACAAGAAGACGGTCACCGCTCAGAACACGCTCGACAATGCCGTCGACAGTCTTTCCCTTCCATTCGTTCATGAATTGAGGGCCGCCAAGGTCATTCTGGACTTGAATGTTGCCGCCAGTGCCAGACCAGAGACCCTTGCCGGCATTCTTGGCTTCGGTCTCGAGTTGGCGCAAGTTGTCGAGACGCTGAGTAGTAGCCTCATCATCATCCTTGCGGCCAGCCTCTTCTCTGACCTTGAGCCATCCGGCCTTGATAGCTTCATCGGGGAGAGAAGGGCCATCCTTGGAGAGCAGAGCAGTGCCGAACTCGCGACCGGAAGGTACAGTGTAAGCTACTGTGCATTGGATCTGCTTGCCAACGACAAGTTCTCTGAGGTATTCTCTTGACTGGAAAGCGAATGGTTCATCGCCTTCCTTGTTCAGGCGAGGAGCCGTGACGTATGCGAGGGAAAAGGTCTTTTCGGCTCTGGGGTTGTTGGGAGCGGTCAAGACGAGGGTATCGCCGCTAAGCACGCTCTTGACCTTGGCGAAAAAGGGCTTCGACATGATGGGTGAATCAAGGAGTGACCGGATGCTATTGAGAAGATATACTATAGAGATCCATAGATGGTTAGCATGCTGCCCATCCCAAGCTATTTGCGGTGACCGTTGTGTGTCTCGTGCCGGCCTGGCGTCTCAGACATTCTGAAGCAATGAGCTCCAAGCATTGTAAAGGAACCATGAACTGCAATTGACAGCTCCGATTGAAGTCACAATAAAGCTTTCCAAGATGACTGTGACTGCCAGTGCACAATTACATCAAAGACAAAGCCATTGTGTTCAGGTGAGGTTGTCTGAGAAGCGCATGGATAGGTGCAGTTCCCCCCGGGTAGAAGCATCAGCTTGCCGCCCTCCCTGCAGAGGAAAGCTCAATGTCCAAATGACCAGGGGCCATTGTGAAGAAGGAAAAAACAGGAAAACGTACCGGTCAATGAGAAGGGGTTTGGTAAGGAAAACGGAGAGAGAGGATGTAGAGATGGTTATCGGGGGAGAGAGGGAGGGGGGGAGTTGTGTTGGAAAGGAGTAGTAGCGAAAGGCGATTGTTCGATTCAAACGTTCGACAGTCGTACCGCCTTTTTGACAGCTTGCCTCAATTTCGCCCAGTCTCGAGCAAGCAAGTGTGGGGAAAGGAGTTCAGGGACCACAGTCCACACGGAGGCAGGGGTAGCAGCTCGCCGGTGGCCAGTAGCAGTGGCGGGAGCCCTTAAGCGAGAGCGGGGTTACAGCTACCTTATGTAAGGTGCTGCACTTGCGGTTTTGGTTGCTAAGGACAGCTTCCCCCTTGAACAACAACAATGCGTCACTTGACTTTCAGTCCTGTATAAGCAAGCATTGAACGATTGATTCATGAGAATCAAATTGCTGAGTATCTATGACTCTCAGTGTCTCTATACTACTTCCAATTGTTGCTTAGAATTTCTGGTCTCTGAGATATTCAAAGTGTCCGAGTGATGTCTTGTTGCAACTGTGACTAAGGAAAAGACACCATCATGCCAGTATTGGCAGCGTTCACGTCATATCCTACCCCTCACAGTGCAAGGACCAGCCCCGCAACTCCCGCTGGACATTCAGCATTCAGCTTCAGTTTTGATGCTATTCACCATGCCAATTCAGAGATGCGATTTACGGTGATTTTTTTGTATTACTTTTTGAAGATGCCATACTACGGTTGAAGGCTTCTACTACCAATTTTCAGCTGCCTTCAATACAGCCAGCGAGCATTGTGAAATGAAGCATATCAAGAGCTTGACAACCCCCACCTTAGATGGCAATCCGTCCCAAGACAGTAGCTATCCGGGCACAGAGCTTAGTTGGAGATACCAATGACACCTGCAATTGATTATTAGTTTCTTCCTCTTTGTTAGGAGGCAATAGTTTTACATACCGCAGGCGGGACGGGGGCCGGCGTTGCCAGTCTTGAGGGACTCCTCGTTGTCACCCTTGCCGAGGTCGTCGGTGCCGCCGTGGACAACGACGGTGCGGCCGATGACGCTCTCGGGGCCGATCAGCTTGACGTGCTTGTCGGTGACGGTGCCCTTGGAGTTACCCTGGCCATCGGTCTCGATGTTGCCAAGGTCGCCGACGTGGCGGTTCGCGTCCTCGGGGGCGCCGTGAGTCTTGTTGTGAGGGTTGACTGCAGCGTTCCGTGGTCAGCTCTTGTTTACCTTGCTTCCCACCAACTGATGGCGTTCCTTCAGACTCGTCTCCTAAGGATACTTACAGTGAGGGCCGGCGGAGGTGCAGCCGTTGGTGTTGTCACCAAAGGTGTGGATGTGCATGCCACGCTTGGCATTGGCGTCGTTACCGGTGATGTCCCAGGTAATGGTGGTGGGAGCGGACTCGGACTCCTGCTCGAAGACAACGGAGCCGGTAACCTTGGAGTCACCACGGACGACAGCGACTGGGAACCAAGGTTAGCGAACTGCTTCATCCTCATCTTGATAAAGCGCCCCCCCTTTCCTACCCCCCTTCGAGGACAGCCTTTTCTCCCCTTGGCTTTCTCCACGACGGGAACGACGGGAACCATCTGAATTCGAACCAAACGGATCGACAGCAGACGGCGCAAGGAACACGAGGATGGAGTCGATCGAGCTTGAAGATTGGCCAGCGACAAGCTGGTTCCCAGTCGTAGGCACGTCGCTGAGCCATCAGGGTGTTTGCTCTCTCCCACGTCGTTCCAAAACCCGCTCAATCCAGCGCAAATTGGATGGTCGGCCTGCGTTACCCCTCCATCCCCGGCTCTGCGGCTCTGCACTAGGCCGACGAGGAAGGTTGGTTCCCGTGTATATAAAGAGTGACACTTACCAGCCTTGACCATTTTGAATGATTTTTTTGTGGTACTTTGGGTTGGAATTGGTTTTGTTGTTTTGCGGGTGTGGTTGTTCACGCAGCAGATGTTGAGGAGAAGGGAAATGATGAAGGTTCAAGGTGCAAAGAGGGGAAGAAGGGGAAAGTACCTTATGGAGTCTCTGAGACGGGCCAGCTCAGACGGGGGAACACTGGGGAAGAGAAGAGACACACACGCACACTCAACGCCTCACTCAAGATGGATCCCTCACTGCGAATGGAAAAGGGCGGGCACCGACGGCCGGCTTGCACGAACTCTGCGGACGCCCAATGAGGAACGAGACGTGATATTTCCGTAAGGTACCTTAAGGTAGCAGGAAAAGGCACAATTCGGAATTCCGAGGTACAGAAGCTCGCCTCGCCTCGCCTTGTCTTCCGTCAGAGAACCGCTGGAAAGCAGCAAACACGGCAGGGTTGTTCGTCTTCTCGCCCGCTGGAATTTCCCCTAAAGTCCGGCATCTACCTTACCCCTCCTGTCCGATTCTAGCAGGTATTATGCCGTGGTCCAAATCCCGGTGAATGGCCAACACCACACACGCTGTCACGCCCAGCTTGCGCTTGGATGGTGGGGGAAGCTGCTGCCCCGCTCCAGCATTATCTCATCGCCGTCATCTTGGTCCGGGTGGATTCGGGTTGAGCTTCTGGTTGGCTGCTTGTCTCGCAGTCCTCCGGGATGCTTACAAATGAACGAATGGTGCAATGCAATGGTGAAGGAAAAGGTACTGCGATTGCGGGCAATCAACAATGGAAGTTGTTGCCGTATTCTTGATCCTGCCAGTTTCGTCTTGGGACACGCCGTCGAGAATGAGGTGGAAGAAGGCCGATGCTCGGCCTGCCGTCTCTTGAATATAGGTAGCGCGCGCCAGCGCCACGATTGACATGTCACAAGAAAGCCCTTTCAACTGTGGCTTGAACAGCGGGGAACTCGGCGAATGGCTGCTGCAGAGTCAGCGGCGCCGTCAGCAACGCAGCGCACCTCATTGTCCGAAAGTGCCGGGAGTGGCTTAGGTATACCGTAGATATCGGAGCCTCTTCATCATTCGGTCCCGGCCTGTAACTCGCAAGTAATCAGCCACAGTACGGCATCTTGGTCATGATACGGGAGGCAGCCGAGAGTATCCAGAAACTGGTCTTTGTTGATGGCCGACTCGGTACCGTGCCACTACCTTATAGTCAGATTTGGTCGATAGAGTTTAGGTGCCATCGAGAGCTTCAGCCATTATCCATCATGCGCTATATGTTATCATCAACGCTAGCATGGAGCTCTGGCCATATAGCTGGCGGGGTCGTTTCGAGGCATCTCTTGCGGACAACTTCTTTGACATCATGACTGCACCGCGGTGATCATAAAAATGTCGAATACGAAACATTCAAATCTGACAGACCTGAATGATCATCAATCACATTCTGCTCTACGATGCTCCGCCGGTGTTGCAGGCGATTATGAACGTCTGTAACATCGTCGAGTGAGTCCGTATAGGTATGTCAACTGTCATCATCCCTGGAACCTGTGGTCAACCTCGGCACATGGCTGGAGCTTTACTATCAGGTATTATTACCCAAAGCGACGTCCGCTTAACAGCCAGTACCGGCTGGTTCGGAACCAGCTGCAGTCGTATATGTCGAGCAATGAAGCCAGAGTCCCAAAGACGGGCGAAAGTGACCAACTGGAACAAACTTGAAGCACAAGGGGTGCCCGCCATGCCTCCTGCATGAGTCTGAACCATTCGACCAGTCAAGATAGGCAATTCGACGGCTAGGGAATGCTGACGGCTGCGGAGACCAATCCCATGGCGCCGCGCTCTCCAGATGCAGTCAGCCCTACGGATCAGAGCTTACACAGTACGGTCGCTTTTTGTACTTGGTAGTAATGAGTCGAGTAACCCAGCTGTATGGGGGTTCCTTCGCCATGCTGTACTACAGAACGGCTGGCTGGCGTACGATACGAGCACGCAAAGTTGTTGGGAGAGACACTGCTCCAAGTAGCATCTCGTTTCCGACTATGATGGGGCTGCCAACTGAGTGAGACATCCAGGAGATAGGCAGGCCAAGGATACGCGACGCGCGGGTTAGCAGCAACGGCAGCGATCCCGGTGGGACACGTGGTGTGTAATAGTTGACATTCACCTTGCCATGCTCGCGGAAGTATGGTATTGGGCACAAGGGAACTCCAGCAAAACCTCAGTCTGGGGTCGGCGAGGGGGGTTTCAGCAGATCGAATTTCGGACTTCCAAATAGCATATCCCTCCCCAAATGTGTTCGAGCGCATCTCTGTGTGATGGGGAACAGAAAAGTATATCGAGAGACGAGACATAAAAAAGCATTGCGGGTAGGTCGGGCATAACCAGCATTTGCTTTTTTTTTCGTTTCCAAAACGACGACTGATGAAGCTGGATCTCCCGCGGGCCGCGCAACACATTTCCCCCTGTCGGACGTTGTGGGAGAATATACGAGAATGGGGTTCGCTAGCAGATTAATATCCACCCGGCAGGGACCCCGAATTGTAGGAATTTTCCGTGCGGCCAGGTTTTGGACAGGGCCATCCAACCGTCGTGCAGCCCAAGTGTGCGGTTAGTCGAAATACGAGACTGAAAGAAGGAGGTGGTTAATGTAGGGGAGCCGACATGATGGGCCGCTACTGGGATCATATGAGTACCTAT